CTGTACCAACAAACACCATCAACAAGTACTGCCACCATTGATAACATGAAACGGTACCGTCGATAAACAGTCGCCAATCCCTTGCTAACGACGTACATCGCAATAATTGAAGGGATGTGTTGGCAAAGACAGCGTATCCTAGCAACAGTGTTTCCACAACAGCGCCAAGGTAAGGGCCCATGTTAGGAGGTGGCCTGGACCTGCACAAGCGCAGTACGCGATGACAGAAGTAACAAACACCAATCATGACCACAACACCAAACACTTGACTGGCAAACAGAAGCTGTTTAGTAACTGCAGTCAGACCACCAAATGGACAAAGAAGACCACTCGACGACAAGCGAAATTGAAAGTTGAAAAGTCCAATGATTGGTTGCACAAGATACAACTTGATGGTATTGTTATACGACGTGGTGACGAGAACAATGTTGACTACTTGATAAAAGTAAAACAGTATCTTCAAATATCCGCCGCTGTCATGTTTTTCGCCTTCATCTTCTTCATCAGTGGAATATTTGAACCATAGAATTTGCCTCTTAAGCATGTGCAAAAGTCTTGGTTTGTGAATCAAGTACAAAGCCATCAGCATCACCATGACAACGACTACACCCCACAACCAAGTGTCTTTGCATTCATCGTCATGACAACAAGATGTCGACAGAAGAGTTTCACTGTACTTTTCCTTGCAACGACCGCATAATGTTCCACTTCTGTTACCAAGACAACGATTGTAGTCAACAAAGTCGTTTACATCTGTCATGTTACAGTACCCCAAAGGACATTGGGTAAAGCTAAGCTCTTGAGGGTTTTCTTTCACTTCGTATCCCCAATAGTTGGGTTTGGCTGAAATCTTATTGTGGCACACAGCTCCAAATGGGCATGGCAAACATTTAAAACCGCTGACCTTAGTCATTCCCAGGCTGTGGCCGTATTGTAGACTGTAGGTATCGATTGGACAAGATTTGCAGTTAAACTGTAATAGGGTTAAAGCAATCTTACAAGGTTTTGATTGATATTCAGTATCAACGATTGTGGTGTAATTGAGAATGTCCAGACTACTTCCTATWGGGCATTTTACTATTGTTTGATTATTGTCACCAAAATCRATCAAATTCCCTTTTGAAATGTAAATCAGCGATTTCGACTGCACGTAACGTGACCACATCGATTCCATTGTTGTATTGAATATCATCAAAGGACCTTCGCTTTCTGAATAAATCAGCACACCAATCGTCGATTTTACCTTTGGAGTAAGAGTAGAAGAATGATACAACACTGAGTGATTTTGCAAAAACCTCGAGTGAAGAACTTTTAAGCTCGTTGATTCAGACGTCAAAAAAATGTGTCCACCTAGTAGATCTGCATAGTTTTCAAGAAATGAGCACTCTTGGATGATGTGCCTACCCCTAGAAAGGGACAACGCCCCTCCGTTTGTAGCTGTGTTATTAAAAAACGTTGTATTCCTTATACACAATAAAGAATTGTAGCTCCATATTCTTTTGCCGGTTTTTTCGTCAGAGTTTAAAGTTTGAGTGCAGCCCGGATCAATGATTTTATCTTTTAATTGAAGATCAAATGCAACAGCACCCCCTGCGTTTTTCGGCGCCATATTGCCGATGAAGTGACAAGAGAATAATGTTATATTACCTCCCGTTTGCCCGCTTAAATATAAAGCACCACCAGAACCTCGTTTACCAAAACCGCTGACACATCGATGAAATGTAACATTTTGAAAAAGTGTAATGGTGATTCCAAAATGAAACGACAAGCAGCCACCAGAGCTTTCAAATCCCGTATTGGAATCAAACAAAGAGTTCATAATTTGGAGGGTTGATTTTGCCGTGGCTATATTTATTGTTACCGCAGAGCCCCATCCGGTACAGTCCCTTACAATGGTATTGTTGATTACAACATTTCCATCTAAGGGTGAGTCGATATAAAGTGGCCCCCCTGGTCCTGGCCGGTTTCCTCCTGATATCATTGATTCAATGTTTACATTGTCCAAATGAAGATTTTTAACTCCGTTGGAATACAAAACCTGACCGGGGGATGCCGAAGTACGAATTTTTTTAAACGTTACGTTGATTATCATGATATCATATCCTTTGACAGTATGTATAAAGCGTTCATGCATTCCCCCCTGAATGTAGTAGGCACAAATGACCCCACCTTGAAACGAAGAAAATATATCAGTGAATTTGCTGCTTTGTATCAGGATGGAGCCAGTAATTGCTTGAATCACAGCAACACCGCCTTCAGCTTCTCTACTTCCACTACCGACGACCTCAACATTCCGCATTATCAACGTTGCATTGTGTGCATTTCTGGACGTGCCACAGCCCATGTGACCGACATCAAGCAGCCCACCCGGACCATCAGTTATACTTTCATTGACCGTGCAGTTAACCATCTCAACGAAAGTCTCTTGGCTTTGAATACTTGCTAATCCTCCTACTCCAAACGCAGTGCTAGATTTAAAGTGGCAGCCATGTATTTTTGCAGTAATACTCTTCTCTACATCCAGCCATGCAATTCCCGCGCATCCTGCTTGATTGTTATGGAAATATGAATCTTTAACGTTCACTATGCCATATCGGCTCTTCAAAAATACCATTCCTCCGATGCTCTGCCCGCCAATGTTGTTGACAAAGCTAGCATTTTCTATGGTGACTTTACAGTCATTCTTGGAAATGAGGTACAGCAGACCGGCTTCGCCGTTTTTTCCAGTATTAAACATTTCAAATCGGCTGTTCGCAATGTACAGAGAACTTGCGTTTTCAACGTTAGCTTCTAGAGCACGGCAATTTCCTTCGAAATTATCAACAAAGCTGGCGTTGGTTAGATTCATTTTAAGATTGGAACTGCGTCGAATTGTTACCAAACCAGGCATGGTAGCTTTCATTTTACTTCTAAGAAACAAAACATTCTCAAAGCCGATAAAAGTATTTGCATTTTTAGCATTGACAAATATCAATCCGTTTGTTCCAATGGAGTTGTACTTGAAAGTGAGATTCTTGAGTGTAACTTCACAGATTATCGACCCTGGCTCATATTTACTTTCATCTGATGACGTCAGATGTATGCCTGAAGCCAAATCCGCATTCTTCGACCAAGACTCCACCACGTTGCTATTGGTTACCTCAATTGATACCTTGTTTGTTGGAAGTACACGCCCAGTTACATTAACTGCCATACATGAGCTAACATTCACGCATTGTGAGTTAGTAAATAACATGGTAATAGACTTGGTAGACTGGACCAGATTTACAGCTTGTCTGTCACCATTGAAGATACACTCATTGATATCAAGACTTATATCCTGGCCTTGTACTGTAGTAGTGATAAACTTGATATTACTAACACTGACCATGGTCTCTGTCTCTAGTGCCGACTTGACGAAGTTAACATCAGACCCTTGCTGGCATTTGACGTGAACCATTGAATGGACACCAATAATCGATAAACTCTTGTTGGCATGAATTCCTGGTATCTCAATGGCAGACGATTTACAAGAAAAGGGCGTTGTCTCTGACCCAGTCCCATCCACGTAGACCCGCGCGTGTTGTTTTGCCAGCCACACCCCCATGGCGATAGTCTTACANATATTCAGTATCAACGATTGTGGTGTAATTGAGAATGTCCAGACTACTTCCTATTGGGCATTTTACTATTGTTTGATTATTGTCACCAAAATCGATTAAATTCCCTTTTGAAATGTAAATCAGCGATTTCGACTGCACRTCACGTGACCACATCGATTCCATTGTTGTATTGAATATCATCAAAGGACCCATACTCTCTGAATAAATAAACAAACCTACACTTGCTCGGTCGTATTGATTGATCACTTTGGAGTGCGTTTGTAAAAACGTTGAGTCGAGTATTTCTAAACGTGTCGAGTCTGTGATCGAGTCTGAGATGTGTCCACCGTGCGCATGTGCGAAATTATCGATAAAGGTACAGTTCCTGATGGTATAGCTGCCTCCCGACAAGGACAACGCCCCTCCGCTAATAGCAGTATTGTTCACAAATGTTGTATTTGTTATCAATACAGAAACATGGTATGTCCATCTTCTGTGAGGTTTATCCATATTGTCAGTGCCAATGCGGCACCCCGGGTCAACGATTGTATCACCCTTATGCAATTGAAATGCTATTGCACCGCCAGATGTACGCGGCGACTTATTGCCAATAAACTTACAAGAGTCGATTTTTATGATGCCGCATGCCCGCCGTGAAATCAGTAGAGCACCTCCGCCATGTAATGGGTCGAGAAGATTTATACAGCCTCCAAATGTTACGTTAAAGAGAAAAGCATTTATATCATTACCATCCAAACGTACTGCTGCACTGGATCCTCTCCATGTGTTCCATGCAATGAATACTGTATCTACAATTTTAAGAAGTGCTTCTGTGCCTTCAGCGTAAACGTATATCGCATACACGCTTGCCATTAATACATTGTATTCGAAACGGCAGTTCGTAATATTGACAATAATCCTTAAATCTGACATTAGCGACATCATTCCTCCTATACAGCCTTCACACCAGTTGCTATTAAAAAATGAATCTTTAAGGACTACTGCAGTTTTATTGCCACTATAAACATTGAGGAAACTCATAACGATAATAAAGGAATGTAGATTCCTGGCACCAGAGTTGCCGCTTAAGATTGTACTTTCTATATACAAGATATTATTGAAGCCCAATAAGTTAATTATTCCATCATTATTTTCAAATCGACTGCCCATGATACTTATCGAAATATCACGGTATGTGCTCACAGATATAGGTGGATAGAAATAACCTTTGTTGTGCAGAAATGTAACGTTCTTTAAAGTCATACTGTGATTGTACGCAATCTCATCAATAAAATTCATTATGGCGCCATCATTAACATAATCATAATAAGGTGGCAGCAGGCTGTTATTGTAGATAAAGACGTTTTCAACATGAAGTGAGATAAAAGCATTCGACAATGCCACTTTCACAATGCCGTTGCTATTAAAGGTATTATTTTGTAGAGTAACATTTCCAAGTGCAATATCACATGTTATCCACCCCGGTTTTTTGTGTATTGTGCATTGCCAATACTCGAGGTTACGTGGATAGCGACTGCTCGAGGTATGTTATTTAATCCTGACTCGATAACGTTGCTATTGGTTACATCAATAGATATCTTGTTAATTGGTAATACACGCCCAGTGACAAGGACTCTCATACATGAGCCAGTATTCGCACAAAGTGAGTTCGTAAATAACATGGTAATAGACCTGGTAGACTGGACCAGATTTACAGCTTGTCTGTCACCATTGAAGATACACTCATTGATATCAAGACTTACATCGTGGCCTTGTATTGTAGTATTGATAAACTTGATATTACTAACACTGACCATGGTCTCTGTCTCTAGTGCCGACTTTACCAAGTTAACATCAGACCCTTGCTGGCATTTGACGTGAACCATTGAATGGACACCAATAATCGATAAACTCTTGTTGGCATGAATTCCTGGTATCTCAATGGCAGACGATTTACAAGAAAAGGGCGTTGTCTCTGACCCAGTCCCATCCACGTAGACCCGCGCGTGTTGTTTTGCCAGCCACACCCCCATGGCGATAGTCTTACAGGGCTGTATGTCTGTACCACATGATGGTGTATCGCTTCCGTGTTGAGAAACGTACACATTGGAAACTGTGAATTCAAAGGAAATCCCTTTCTTTAATTGTTTTTAGAAATGTCATGAGGAACATGCAAAGAAGACGTTATTACGTTTTGACTACATTCAGTGATCGCCTCGTCTCGATTATTGTATACACCCTTTTAATAAGTCCCGAGGTTTTGTGTTCTCCGCACTTGACGTCAAATTTATTCTTTTGAATTCCTTTTGTATTGTAAAGAATTTCAAAAGAATAAATTTGACGTCAAGTGCGGAGAACACAATACCTCGGGACTTATTAAAAGGGTGTATACTTCATTATTTCATACTTGATTCACATATGGTTTTCTTTGTTATTCATAGCGTTGTATCTCGCTTATTCCACAGCTCATGTAATGTTTAAAGTCCGACAATGAGGACTGGAACTAATTGCAAGGACTTGAAATCCCGTCCAGTCCGAATTGGAGGACTTTGAACGACTTCTCATACTCATTAATTATTCGGGAGGGGAAAAAATCGAAGGAAATACATATAACAGAAATATATTGATTTATTGCATCTCCACCAAGGTTTTCAGTTTTCATAATTTTGAATAAAGAAGCACCGTTTGTTGTTTCCCAATTCCCGAACGGCTTTCTGAAACAAAAGCTTTTCAAATTRYCTTTGTTTGCTTTTCATGGCATTCCTAATGAGCCTAATTCATAAGTTTTATAAGTATGTTATCTTCCAAGGAATCGCATCAGAAACTCGGTGGTGTAATGGTATAAGACAGCGCATATAGATTGGACGGTTCGGGATCGTTTCGTTAGGGAGTCATTTATCAAAGACCTTTTTTCACTAAATTAATTCTATAGTAAGTTGATTATTTCTAATACTTTGATTATCATTAGATAGTAGTAGTTAGAAAAAGCTAGAAGTAACTGGAATCAAGGTAAGAGTAACTGGAAATAAGATAGAAGTAACTAGAAACAAGGTGGAAGTAACTGGAAATAAGATAGAATACAAGGTAGGAGTACTTCCTCTGGTATCCAGTTACTGCACGTGGTACAAATTACAATCAGGGATTGGCTAGATACCTCATGAATAATTAATGAGTATGAGAATGTGTATTCAAGTGCTTTATATCGAAGTTTCAGGGTAATATCTATATATTGCCCTTGAATACTAATGTATATTGCCCTTGAATACTAATGTACTTATTGCCCTTGAATACCTAATTAACTACTACTCAACTTAGAAATTTTCCGTCTGAAACTTGAAAGAAAGAAAGAAAAATTCTTGAAGTGACACCAAGTAGATTCGAACCCACAACCTTAGCTTTGAAAATCCTATACTTAACACGTTACACTAACTGACTAATCGATGTCAGGTATGGAATAAAACAGTTATTTAACATTGTCCAGTTACTTGTTACAAAATGTATATTGTTAGCATTGGTCTCATGGGACTAACGAGAAAATTGGTTATGCAAATTATTCCCGTTGGGAATTGTCAATACTGTAAATTTCGTAACCCTTCTAATCGAGGTTTTGGTTTTAATTCATATGAAAACGGTTCCTTTGCCTATTTAAAAATGAAAATATTAATGCAGTGCTTGGAAAACGTCTTCAAGTATGAAATAAGCCAGTTACATACCTCGAACGTCGGCAATCAGCCTATACATCCCTCGCGCCTACGGCCCTCGGGATGTATAGGCTGATTGCCTCCGTTCTCGGTATGTAACTCTTACCTATTTGCCTATCAGGCGATCAATGGTATAACACGGGTATAAGCCTTACTAGCTAGCCGAAAACATTTCAAAAGCAAAATCAAATAGTATTATGTTAATGGAGCCTAAGCTTTGTGGTGGCCTTGCTTGTTGTAATAATGTCAATAATGGTTGCCTTCGCAGTGTTTAGTTTTGGTGGGGTTCCTGTATTCTTTCATAGACATATGGAACAGGAAGTCAGGCGAAAAAAGGTCTTTGTTTGTTTCAGCCTGTTTCCTGTGTGCCATAACAAGTAAATTGGAAAATATTAGATTTAATCGATCACAGTCAAACTTTACACTCACGAAAAGAAATTTCTAAGATTGAACATGCATTAAAGAGCATTATTTAAGTAAAAATATTTGAATTTTTACCTTCGCTAGCCAATTGAGATTCGGACGCTGTCAATAACTGCAAAGAAACTGCAATTCTTGCCAGTCTGTACCACAGGAGTTTCATTTCGACTTATTCAAGTCTCACCGGGTGTTTTTCGTCTGCAATTTCTTACTACTCAATTGATACACAAGAAAGTTCCTATGGCTGTTCCTGTAAACCGAACTTTCACGACAAGCGTGACCCCTTGTTTGTCACGCTCAGACCGGTCTCCCTGTGTAGTACAGGGCAATGGTGTGTGACTTGCTCCTTTGACCGAAAGCTGGACGAKTCCAAGGTCGGCCTTTTTTTGGCGTTTTTTGCTGTGGAAGCCAACGAAATTCATATTTAAAACTGGGAGGTTAGGTTTTGAGAATTTGCTTTTCTGCATTACATACTTTTATGATCGATGAAATCTACGTGGATTGCACGACTTCTTGTTCTGTTGAACATCWCTATGTCGGCACAAGATCAGATTCAAGGTAAACAATTCGCAAGCTTGCTTTTACCTTTGACCATCAAGTCAGTTTAGTTTTTTTCTCTTGTATTTAGGATGTAAATTCTACTAAAACTCTATGAAAGTAAAACGGCGTCAGAACTATCAGTTTCTAGCCCAAAGAACGAAATTTTGAAATTTTGCATGCATTGCAACCTAAGTTGTTTTACATTCTGTAAAATTTACTAACTTATTTGTATAAAAATGGCTGTCACAAGAATACAGAGTAGGTCAACCTCACAACAGAGTGCATTTTTACAGTACATTTTTTTTTTGTAGTGCGAAGAGTCATTTTCGTGTTGGGCTTCCTGTGCTACCCCACACAGGAAGCCCGGTACGACAACAGCAGCTAAAGGCCGATTCACTCGATGCAACTTGTCTGGAGCGACTTGGTGTGATAAGACACAATCAATACCGTGTCAATGGCTTTGCTAATAGACGCGTGTGTCCTACGACTTGTCTCAAGCTTTTGAACTTAAATTGTTTCGAAACCCTACGGTGCTTGTTCTGAAACTGAAACTAAACGAAGAAYGAGAAATAAGAAGATTGAGGAAGTAATAAAGGCCTAAGTTAAAAGAACAACTAAGATTACTGATGCATTTTATTCTTTGAATTCATAGTTTCCAATGTGTACGTTTCTCAACACGGAAGCGACACACCWTCATGTGGTACAGACATACARCCCTGTAAGACTATCGCCATGGGGGTGTGGCTRGCAAAACAACACGCGCGGGTCTACGTGGATGGSACTGGGTCAGAGAAAACGCCCTTTTCTTGTAAATCGTCTGCAATTGAGATACCAGGAATTYATGCCAACAAGAGTYTATCGATTATTGGTGTCCATTCAATGGTTCAYGTCAAATGCCAGSAAGGGTCTGAWGTTAACTTSGTMAAGTCGGCACTAGAGACAGAGACCATGGTCAGTGTTAGTAATATCAAGTTTATCAMTACTACAATACAAGGCCASGATGTAAATCTTGATATCAATGARTGTATCTTCAATGGTGACAGACAAGCTGTAAATCTGGTCCAGTCTACCAGGTCTATTACCATGTTATTTACTAACTCACTGTGCGTGAATACTGGCTCATGTATGAGAGTCCTTGTCACTGGGCGTATATTACCAATTAACAAGATATCTATTGATGTAACCAATAGCAACGTTGTCGACTCAGGGTTCAATAACAAACTAARTGCAGTTGGTATTCACATGACGTCGACTTACTATTCAGAGGAGCCAGGTTGGCTATCATGTGAWGTMGTACTTCGAAATGTTACTCTTCAAAATAATACCTTTAGTCAAAAGGGCATTGTGTATTCAGARTTACCGTACTCCTTCACTTCTCTACGTGCTGAAAACGTTTTCATTTACAATAACACGCCAGGGATGCCTATTCCTACAGATCGTAATRTCGCAATGATGAATTATAATGGTCATGACAGTCCGAGTTATAATCACAGTATGATTCTGAGCAACGTGACGTTTCTACAGAACAACGGTGAATATTATTTACCCATTTACATAGTCACATGGAACGATATATTCATAAGTATTCTTGATAGCAGATTTGAAAGTAATTATGGAATAGTGAAGCTAATTCCATTTAATAATATTAAACTTTACATAGAAAATACTTTTGTAATAGGGAACTTTGGTTGCAAGACTGTSTCGAGTTCTTTTGAGGACTTCTTCATTCTTRATGGCATGAAAAATGTCACCGTAGTGYTYAAAGACTCGACGTTTAAAAGCAATATGTGTAAATGGTGTGTACTTGGATTGATGTCGCTAGGGTCAGTGCTACGGACTGATGTCAATATMACGAACTGCCGYTTTGAATCCAATGCAGCCCTRAATCCAGGAAAATATATGATAAGCATTGGCAGTAGTAAACACYTGATTTTCACAGTTCTTGATACTATATTTATTGGGAGCTCTTCAAAAGAAACTGTGAAAGCTATATCTTTGGCTGCTGGAAACGAAATGCACGTYCTTCTTRATAACGCCACATTTAAGGGCTACTTAAATAGGGAACCCATACTTGGAGGGGCTCTGTATTTGAGYCCGTCATGGGGTACAATTGAAATTAACTCTTGTACATTTATTGGCAATAGAGCACCACTRGGTACTGGTGGTGCAGTAGCATTTCGTTTGCAARRTGGCGATACGCTCATTGACCCCGGATGCATAAAACAACGCTCTAMAGTAAMCAGGCAACCCACYGACAAYATGGATAAACCTCACAGAAGATGGACATACAATGTTTCTGTATTGATAACAAATACAACATTTGTSAACAATACYGCTCTTAGCGGAGGGGCGTTGTCCCTRTCGGGAGGCAACTATACCATCYRGAACTGTACCTTTATCGATAATTTCGCACATGCGCACGGTGGACACATCTACTCGATCACAGACTCGACACGTYTAGAAATACTCGACTCAACRTTTTTACAAACGCACTCCAAAGTGATCAATCAATACCGARCAAGTGTAGGTTTGTTTATGTATTCAGAGAGTATGGGTCCTTTGATGATATTCAATACAACAATGGAATCGATGTGGTCACGTGAYGTGCAGTCKAAATCGCTGATTTACATTTCAAAAGGGAATTTRATYGATTTTGGTGACAATAATCAAACAATAGTMAAATGCCCWATAGGAAGTARTCTGGACATTCTCAATTACACCACAATCGTTGAYACTGAATATAAATCARAACCTTGTAAGATTGCCTTAACYCTATTACAGTTTAACTGCAAAKCTTGTCCARTCGATACCTACASTCTACAACACGGCCACAGCCTGGGAATRACTAAGGYCAGCGGTTTTAAATGTTTGCCATGCCCATTCGGAGCTGTGTGCCACAATAAGATWTCAGCCAAACCCAACTATTGGGGATACGAWGTRAAARAAAACCCTTCAGAGCTTAACTTTACCCAATGTCCTTTGGGGTACTGTWACATGACAGATGCAAACGACTTTGTTGACTACAATCGTTGTCTTGGTAACAGARGTGGAACATTATGCGGTCGTTGCAAGGRAAAGTACAGTGAAACTCTTCTGTCGACATCTTGTTGTCATGACGATGAATGCAAAGACACTTGGCTGTGGGGTGTAGCCGTTGTCATGGTGATGCTGATGGCTTTGTACTTGATTCATAAGCCAAGACTTTTGCACATGCTTAAGAGGCAAATTCTGTGGTTCAAATATTCCAYTGATGAAGAAGATGAAGGCGAAAAACATSACAGYGGYGGATATTTSAAGATACTGTTCTACTTTTATCAAGTAGTCAACATTGTTCTCGTCACCACGTCGTATAACAATACCATYAAGTTGTATYTTGTGCAACCAATCATTGGACTTTTCAACTTTCAATTTCGCTTGTCGTCGAGTGGTCTTCTTTGTCCATTTSGTGGTCTGACTGCAGTTACTAAACAGCTTCTGTTTGCCAGTCAAGTGTTTGGTGTTGTGGTMATGATTGGTGTTTGYTACTTCTGTCATCGYGTAYTGCGCTTGTGCAGGTCCAGGCCACCTCCTAACMTGGGCCCTTACMTTGGCGCTGTYGTGGAAACACTGTTGCTAGGATACGCTGTCTTTGCCAACACATCCCTTCAATTATTGCGATGTACGTCGTTAGCAAGGGATTGGCGACTGTTTATCGACGGTACCGTTTCATGTTATCAATGGTGGCAGTACTTGTTGATGGTGTTTGTTGGTACAGTGGTTGTACCTTTCATCTTAACCCTCGCGCTTGGTTCTCATTGGCTGCATAAGGGAAGTATTTCTGTGAAGGAATTTATACTTGGCTGCGTTCTTCCTTTACCCTACTTACTGTATAAAGTGATTTCATTGTTGCGTGGAACCCACGAAGCAAACCAAGAGCCGCGCGAGTGGAGGGCGGCTGTCACGAAAGTGCTATTCGGTCCTTTTCGAGCTCCACAAGGTAACAGCTTTGGTGCCGTCTACTGGGAAAGTATTCTGATATCCAGACGGCTGGTTCTTATTGTAATCTACGTGTTTGTGCAGGATTCTTTGTCCAAGGAACATATTCTGACCTTTGCGTCAGTTGCAATACTTCTCCACCATACCATTGTACGACCATTTCGTGACCCAAGTGCGAATATCGTCGAGATGGTGTCTTTGTTTTGCTTGTTTACTCTAGCGTCCATCAACACCTTCAAAGCTAGTTTTATATCATTTGGAGAAGTGCAAAAAGGTCCACTAAT